CACGTATACATTACATAGCATGCATGTGCTTATTATGAAAAAATACCTAATGATAGGTTCACTTTAAACTGAGAGCAATGGCTTCTGTGTTGGATATAAGCCAACATTGCCCCTACACATGTAGGAATAGTTGAGATTGTTAGTAAGCTGAATAATGCTGTTAGTAAGTTGCATAATGTTGCTTTCACCTAGCATTCGGAAAATTCTTTCAGCCACTAGTGGTAAGCTGCACCATGATCTCCCTGGCCTGCAGCAGGAGGATTAGCTGTTATTGCTCATGTTTGGGAACCAGTACCACAAACTGGAAACAAACAGTGTTCACCCTTGTTTTCTTTCTATATGTAATCCCAAATGCTATACTATTATATAAGCTTTAATGTGTTAATCTGATTGCAAAAGTAATTTTCAGTCTTTTTATAAATGCATTCATTGATAAAATAATAACTGGTGATCCTGCCATAATGGTTCTTGTTCAGGTACTGCCTGTTACAGAGTGACAGTATGCAGTCCCTAACTTGCAGTTGTGGTCCTGCATTGACACCCTATTGCACAGTCTTCCAATGCAGAGTACAGTGCTTTAGCATATTAAATATCATGCAGTTTATCTGCTTTAAAGCTGCTTTCACAGTCTCTCTAAGTATGCTCTTCACCTAGCCAAATTAGATCATCGGTACAGTCCAAAGTCTTCTTGTTGTCCTTTGTTTGGGTTTGTATGGCCTGTCCGCTTACTCAGATCCTGTCACATTTGTGTAGATTTATAAACCGCTCCAGTTGTTTCCATATTCATTTTATCCTGCACATGGGTAGAGTATTGTGCTTTGGGGTGTTTGTAGCCTTGGTAGTAGGAAGGTGTCATAGCACTTCTATTTTTTCCTACTCATGAATGAACGCAGATGTTAATCTAGTCTGTTGGCATTTCAGCTAAAAACTGTAAAGCTGCAACACTCTGTAATCCTGTTTGCAAAATGCTATAGGCTTTCTTCATCACATGAGTATGAACAATCCCCGTCCCTACACACAGCTGTTGCTCTCGTGTTCCCACTACACGTAGAGAACTGAGGTCACATCAACTCTCTGTCTTACCTGAGGGTGGTCTCTGTATGACAGCGGACGTTGACTGCTCTTTTTCTCCACTAAATTATTGTTATCGTACAGGATTTATGCAGCGCCAAAAATTTGCACAGCGCTTTACAATATGAGGAAGACATTACAGTTATAATACAATTCAAGACAATATGGTTAGGAGGGTCCTTAGGTGTTTACACTCTAAAAGGGAGAGAAAAGTGATACAAAAGGTGATAGCTGTGTGGGGATGAATTGTTTGAGAACGTCACGGCCGGCTCCACCCATGTGTTGTCATTCAATGACCGCCCACTGTCTTCAAATGACCTGAGGACAGTGGGCTGTCATTGAATGACAGCAAATGGGTGGAGCCAGTCATGAAATGGCCGACTCCACCCATTTGTTTTAATTTTGCCGTCACTCGCAATAGCGATTTCACATGTGGCAGCACAATGTCAACAGATAGGCGGAGCCAGCGGTGATGTCACCGCTAGCTCCACCTATCTGTTTCCATTTTGCCGGCATATGTCAAATTGTTAATTTGTCAGGTGCGAACGGGTCGGCGGGCGTCTGTTTATTTTTTTTCTTATTTCGACGAGTCGGCGTGGACAACTCTGGACGTCATGATTGAACCTTGGATTACCTCAGTGGATCAATTTTTGGGATTTTTATTAAAGGAATTATCACCAACTTTGTTTTTTAAATTAAAGGATTTTTTCTTAAAGTGTGGGCTGTTTATTTACTTTTTACCTTAACCCTTTAGTGAATGAGTGGGGGGACTCATTCACAAGGGGGGGCGGCATCTGGTTGCCTCTTAATTAAAGCGGTACCCTGATGCAAATAAGCTCCCCTGCCCGCAGACCCCCCACAACCAACGGATCAGGGATTGTGAGGAGGAGGCTCCTGCTCCCATCGGCATGGGGACAATGTGCTTTTCCAGGGCGGACCCTGGAAAAGCACCCTCCCACTGGTGAGGCCATGTGGCCTGGTATGGTGCAGGGGGAGTGCTTGCTCGTCCCCCCTTTTCCTGCCCTGCCAGGCCTGTGCACGGATTAAGAGTCCGGTTGGGAATCTTAGGGGATATTCCACATTTTTTACCCTTATTTTTTGGGGAGTGGAGTTCCCCCTTAAAATTCCTACCAGACCTAGAGAGTCTGGTATGGTCGAGAGGAGGACCTCTTTTTTTCCCTTTTTTTTCTTTGTTTACATTATTGCGGGGAAAACGGTCTCCTTCGTGTTCACCTCAGCCGAGCTGAAGCATATGCGTTTGGCTCGACCTGAGCTGTTTGGCTGCTGTACGGGCTATTAGGAATTACCCATACAGGAGCCCTTCAGTTCGGCTGAACTAAAGGGCTCCAGCGGCCAAAGTGAGCCGAAGGATTAGCCGAAGCTCCGGCGTAGTTCTTCAGCTCTTTAGTGAATAACCCTTATAGTGTTAACACAAACTTTAAACTCAGGTTTAAGATGTGGTGGCCACAAATTCAGTGCAGGGGTACAACAACCAAGGCTCCACACAGAGAGTATAGTAGTGTTGAAACTGCTAAATAACTTTTTTTTACTGCTTGCTGCAATCCTGCAAGAGCAAGACCTAAGAAGGCAGTCACCTGACTTCATGGCTGGTTCACAGTTCTGCTTACCTACCTTTTGCAGGCTCCTCAAAGCCTAATGTTCACAATATACCCTGTTGCTACAATTCTAGTGCACCAGGACCATAACACCCTCTCATTACTTTCTTCACTTCTTCCTCTTTAATGTATGCCCTGGAGCTGTGTCACCTTTTTATTCATCTCTGCAGAGTCTCTCGTTTCCAAGCTCCCGCACATGATAAAATCAGCCTTATTTGGCCGTGAGTCTTCTGTGTGTTATCCCAAGCCACTGTGTCATTATTAGATTTATGTATTTGTTCCAAAGTGTTAAGGATCTGGTACGTTATCCGCAGCTCCTCTCCCTGTGCTTCATAAAGCATTGGCACTTAGCAGAGGAATAGACTGAGGTGTGATCTAAACATTGAATGGATTTAGGAGAAACTTTATTACTAGGCTGCTATGCAGCAAAATGAGTCAGACAGCAGGCTCGCCAATAAAGGGAAAATATGCCCAAAATTATGCCCAAATGCAATTTGCTTTCACAATTTCTTTTTGCACATACAGTAAAGAAATATCAACATCAGGCCCGAGTAGGAAAAACGATTTGTCCTCCTTATCATCGTTATTAATGTAATTTTAAAAAAAATAACCAGGAAAATAAGAGAATAGCGCCCCCCAGTGGGACGATTATAATGAAAAATTATCTAATAACTGCTTCTCATTGGCAGTAATAGTTGATTAAATCCTTTGAAATGTGGGAGTACTGGGGTATTACATATCTCTACAAGTCGAGGAGATTGTTTTAAAACATTTAATGATCACTGAAATTAGAACACATTATAGTACATGCATAGGTTTCATTTCAAAGATCTAAGAAAATGCTTTGAATTTTGTAACTTATAATTAGATGTATCAAATTCCTGTGAGAATTGTGGATAGATCAGTGAGTCTTTTACAGCCTTTGGCTTGTAATGGTAACAGCTGATTTTGAATGAGCAGCTGAATTTAAAATTAAAGGGAATCTGATTTGCTGCTACCTGCAACAGATGACGCTTCCATTCTCATGGTATCATACTTCTAATATTTGGCATCGTCCATCACAGCATGGGAGCTTCATCTAGGACAAGTAATATCTCTCTTAACATTATCATTTAAAGCAAACCTGTCAGTGTTTCTAGCACTTTATTATTGAGTGATCTAACAGGTATACGTCAGTGTCTGCTATACCCTTTTCTGTGTGTGTGTGGACATTATTGGGGACCCCACCTACCCCATCTTGCTATTTAATAATGTGCCTTAGTAGTCAATGGCAACACTTTTTGGGGATAGTAGGATGAAGGGTGGGAGGTGGTACTTTCTCCAGAGTTGGCACAAGTATCTAGTTGAGTTTATATGGGATTCTCCATGCCTTTGCCTTGGTACTGGGGAGAAGGAAGAGCGTGCATCCTATCTTTGCCACATATCGGGACAAGCTTTTTGTGAAACTCTGTAGATCAATGTTCAGATCTGTTGCTTGTAATTATATATTGACCCAAACAGAGTGGAAGTAAACTTGGAGATATGTGACATGGACAGAGCCTTACAATATAATTATATAACACCAATTCCAATAGTTAGTTTCAGTTAGATCATGTGGTTGATTCTTCCAAGTTATTGAGTTCTTCTTCTTGACCCCCTTGTGATCCAGACAGTCCCTCTGCAAAAGGCTATGACCCAGGTTTTAGCTCTCAATAGTTGTATACACATTAATACCTCCATCTCCTGAAGAAGTCAAAGCCAAGTACAAAATGCGTTCAGTGAAAAATAATTCCACCCACCAACATGTTAATATTTTGATCATATCTACAAACAGTTATTATAATGTTATGTTAGTTATTATGACATATATGTTTGTAATAGTGATGGGCAGAGGGATGGCTGAACTAGGAGGTTCTTTGTACTATATACACTACATAAATATTATGTCTATCGATTTTATGATTCTTTTAAATTAATACCTTAATAAATACTGGTTATTTTAACAGCTTATATGGTCATGTGACTATTCTGGTACATAGTCAGTAATTGGCACATTTTTGTAATAGGACTCTCCAAGTGTACAGAAGGGTTTCCAGTTTTACAAAACTTTTTCTTCAGGACTTTGTTTTAAAATGTTAGGGTGATAGGTTTTATGTATGTATGTATGTATGTATGTATGTATGTATGCGTATACAGTTGTGTGTATGTATGTATATGTATGTATGTATATATTTATAGTATTTTTATAATAATGCATTATATTGCTCTTGTTTGCCGTATTTAATGTGCCTCTTTTTTGCATTAATTAATGAAAACTTGCTTTTTTGTTTGCAGACCAACCAATAGCAAAGATTGAGCCTCGACCCAACATGCCAAGAGAGGGAGAGAGGCTGCAGCTACAATGTGATGCCTTTGGAAACCCTGCGTGAGTATTGGCTTACTAGATGGAACAAGAGAAGTAGAAATGAAGTATGGCATGGGGTAAAGTAAAAAGGAGTTAAAATAACAGGACTTGTGATTGAGTAGCACATCGTTTCTCAATCTGTTTTTAATCATGACACCCTTCAAAGTTTGCAAAATCTTGAGGCACCCAAGTCTAAAATGCAATGGATTTTAAGGATGACCCTACTCAAAAATACAAAAAAGTGGGGTTCTCCCTTTCAGCTCGCAGTCCTCCATTCAAATCAGGAGACCCCTTTCACATCGGAGTCCCCTTCTTTCACATCGGAGCACCTCTCTTTCACATCAGAGTTCTGCCCTCCACATCAGAGTCATACATCACAAAATTTTGAGACACCCCTCAGGAAGGCCTGGAGGTACCCTAATGTACCATGTCACCCTGGTTGAGAGGGGCCGATGTAGCAGATACAGTTTAAAGCTGCAAAGCAGGGATGGAAAGGGTATACATTCTGTAGTTCTTTGTTTTTTTAATGAATAGAGTGGGGAAGTGATTTTCTGTCCAAAAGTCAAAAAACTTTTAATAATAGCAATGGTTCAAAAACAACAATGTGGAACAGCCAATGCGTTTCGGGGGCTTATAGGGTTACAAAAACAGACATTAACACATGAATTGGCTTATTTCAAATTAGGGTGTAACAACGTGTATGCGTGTATGTATGTAAAGTGGAAGCAACTGGGAACAACAGTAACTCAGCAACAAAGTGGTAGGCCATGTAAAATGACAGAGCGGGGTCAGCGCATGCTAAAGTGCACAGTGCGCAGAAGTCGCCAACTGTCTGGAGGTCTGTAGCTATTGACTCTGCAAACTTCATGTGGCCTTCAGATTGGCACAACAACAGTGTGTAGAGAGCTTCATGGAATGGGTTTCCATAGCCGAGCAGCTGCATCCAAGCCTTACATCACCAAGTGCAATGCAAAGCGTCGGATGCAGTGGTGTAAAGCACGCCACCACTGGACTTTAGAGAAGTGGAGATGTGTTCTGTGGAGTGACAAAATAACGCTTCTCTGTCTGGCATTTCGACAGACGTGTCTGGGTTTGGCAGTTGCCAGGAGAACGGTACTTGCCTGACTGCATTGTGTCATGTGTAAAGTTTGCCGGAGGGGGATTATGGTGTGGGGTTGTTTCTCAGGGGTTGGGCTTGGCCCCTTGGTTCCAGTGAAGGGAACTTTTAAAGGAGAACTATGGGGTTAGGGTTTTTCCCCATAGTTCTCCTAAGGGTAACGGGAGGACACAAACTAGCGTCCTCTCGTCACTCAAAGCTCAGTATACCGCGAGCTACAGCTCTCGGTATACTGAGATGCCGCAGCCGGAACGGATCCCGACAATTATGTCTGGATCCACCCAGCTGTGTGAGTGACAGCTGGCTCTGGTAATTTAGAGGCAGAGCCAGCTGTACCCGCCCCGTCCGTTCCGTCAGCGCTGGAGGATCGGACAGGGGAGGGGGGAATCCAGTCCCTCCCCTGTCACGGCTCTCTGCCAGCACAGGATCGAGAAGTGAGCGAGCGCCGGTATGTGTTCGCTCACTTCCTGATCTACTGAGTCGACCTCATTGTCACAGGTCGGCTCTGATTATGAGGCTGAGTGAAAATCACTCACCTCATAATTCTCCTTTAAGGCATCAGCATTCCAAGACATTTTGGACAATTTCATGCTCCCAACTTTGTGGGAACAGTTTGGGGATGGCCCCTTCCTGTTCCAACATGACTGCGCACCAGTGCACAAAGCAAGGTCCATAAAGACATGGATGAGCAAGTTTGGGGTGGAGGAACTTGACTGGACTGCACAGAGTCCTGACCTAACCTGTTGTTTTCAAACAGCTCAGGAACAAGTTGGTCCATTAAATCTTTTTGAAAACTGTTCCTCATAATATGTCATATACAGTGCCTGGCCAAAACAAAGTCACACACGCTTATATTTCGTTGGACCACCTTTAGCTTTGATTATGGCACGCTTTTGCTGTTGTGTTGTTTCGATAAGCTTATGCAATGTGACATTTATTTCCATCCAGAGTTGCATTCATTTTTCACCAAGATCTTGTAGTGATGGTGGGAGAGTCAGACCACTGTGTAAAGTCTTCTCCAGCACATCTCAAAGATTCTCAATGGGGTTAAAGCCTGGACTCTGTGGTGGCCAATCCATGTGTAGAAATGCTCTCTAAACCACTCTTTCACAATTTGAGCCCGATGATTTCTGGCATTGTCATCTCGGAATATACCCATACCATCAGAGAAGAAAAAATCCATTGATGAAAAAAACTGGTCATTCAATATATTCAGGTAGACAGCTGACCTCATTTTGTGGCACATAACATTGCTGGACCTGACCAACTGAAGCAACCCCAGATCATAACACTGCCCTAAATCCAGGTGTGAGCTTCATGGAATGGGTTTCCATAGCCGAGCAGCTGCATCCAAGCCTTACATCACCAAGTGCAATGCAAAGCGTCGGATGCAGTGGTGTAAAGCACGCCACCACTGGACTTTAGAGAAGTGGAGATGTGTTCTGTGGAGTGACAAAATAACGCTTCTATGTCTGGCATTTCGACAGACGTGTCTGGGTTTGGCAGTTGCCAGGAGAACGGTACTTGCCTGACTGCATTGTGTCATGTGTAAAGTTTGCCGGAGGGGGATTATGGTGTGGGGTTGTTTCTCAGGGGTTGGGCTTGGCCCCTTGGTTCCAGTGAAGGGAACTTTTAAAGGAGAACTATGGGGTTAGGGTTTTTCCCCATAGTTCTCCTAAGGGTAACGGGAGGACACAAACTAGCGTCCTCTCGTCACTCAAAGCTCAGTATACCGCGAGCTACAGCTCTCGGTATACTGAGATGCCGCAGCCGGAACGGATCCCGACAATTATGTCTGGATCCACCCAGCTGTGTGAGTGACAGCTGGCTCTGGTAATTTAGAGGCAGAGCCAGCTGTACCCGCCCCGTCCGTTCCGTCAGCGCTGGAGGATCGGACAGGGGAGGGGGGAATCCAGTCCCTCCCCTGTCACGGCTCTCTGCCAGCACAGGATCGAGAAGTGAGCGAGCGCCGGTATGTGTTCGCTCACTTCCTGATCTACTGAGTCGACCTCATTGTCACAGGTCGGCTCTGATTATGAGGCTGAGTGAAAATCACTCACCTCATAATTCTCCTTTAAGGCATCAGTATTCCAAGACATTTTGGACAATTTCATGCTCCCAACTTTGTGGGAACAGTTTGGGGATGGCCCCTTCCTGTTCCAACATGACTGCGCACCAGTGCACAAAGCAAGGTCCATAAAGACATGGATGAGCAAGTTTGGGGTGGAGGAACTTGACTGGACTGCACAGAGTCCTGACCTAACCTGTTGTTTTCAAACAGCTCAGGAACAAGTTGGTCCATTAAATCTTTTTGAAAACTGTTCCTCATAATATGTCATATACAGTGCCTGGCCAAAACAAAGTCACACACGCTTATATTTCGTTGGACCACCTTTAGCTTTGATTATGTTGTTTCGATAAGCTTATGCAATGTAACATTTATTTCCATCCAGAGTTGCATTCATTTTTCACCAAGATCTTGTAGTGATGGTGGGAGAGTCAGACCACTGTGTAAAGTCTTCTCCAGCACATCTCAAAGATTCTCAATGGGGTTAAAGCCTGGACTCTGTGGTGGCCAATCCATGTGTAGAAATGCTCTCTAAACCACTCTTTCACAATTTGAGCCCGATGATTTCTGGCATTGTCATCTCGGAATATACCCATACCATCAGAGAAGAAAAAATCCATTGATGAAAAAAACTGGTCATTCAATATATTCAGGTAGACAGCTGACCTCATTTTGTGGCACATAACATTGCTGGACCTGACCAACTGAAGCAACCCCAGATCATAACACTGCCCTAAATCCAGGTGGTGATTTTTTGTTTTGGTCAGACAATGTATGTTCTATCTTCTCGCTGTCATCTGCAATATGTTGGCAGGACAATTCAGACATTCCAACAGAGATTAAACAAACATCGATCAAATATCAGATTAGGCTTTAAAGAACACAGTTCGTCAAGGCTTTTCCATAGCGAGGACTACACCCTCTTTTCAAGCGACCATCACTGAAGAGGTCCCCGCGATTTTAATAGGTTTAACAAATTATGCAAACATGAGACATTCTGGATTTATAGACTCCTTATGGCCTCAATAAGGCAATTGAGACCTTCTCACATTCCTCAAAAACCCTTTCCTTAACCAATGCATTTTTTAATATATGCATCCATTTTTTTTGCTCGACTTCATGTCAAGCATTCATTTTTTTCATGGCACCTTTCTATTAACTCCACTTGATCCAATACATCCTTTGATCTTTTTGCATTACAGCACTGATTTATTATCAGAGTGTTTTTTCTACTCCACCTACTATAATCCTTATTTATGGTTAATTTAATGTATTCATTTAATTTTTATCATATATTTTTATTTATGTTATTATTATTTTAAACTATTAATTACTTATTCATTTTTGCTATTTTTTTTGGTTTTGGTTTGGTAATCAAGCCACATACAGGGGTCTATTCACGAAGCAGCCAAAGGATCTAGCCGTAGCTTCGGCCGATCCTTCGGCTAGCTTCGGCCCCAAGACCCCTTCGGTTCTACAGAACCGAAGGGCTGCTGTACGGGCTATTCACTATAGCCCGTACAGCTCCCGAACTTGGCCGAGCGGCTCAGCCTGCTTCTGACAGCTGGGCGGAGCCAGGCACTGATCTCCAGACAGCATACTCTCCCGGGCGCCCCGGGAGTCTCCCGCTCCCAGCCGCCAAGGAGAGAAACACTGCTTTTTCTTTTTTTTTTTATTCTGACACGGAGACGTGTCAGAAGAGAAAAAAATAAAATGTTGGCCATTCACACTTGGGAATGGGGCCAGATCGCTGGGTCTTACGCATTCCTCCATGAGACTCAAGTGATCTGCTTGCGGTAGGCGCTGTACAATACAGTGAGAGCTGTGCACAATCTG